TTTAGATGAAAATTCCAAACAAGATATTTCAAACAATGTATTAATCTAAAGACTCTTGACATTCAAAATCAAGTATACAGAACAAATGAAAGTCAAGGGCAATTAGTAAGACACCAAAAGAATATTTTTATTTAAAAATATGTACCAATTTAAACGTTTCTGCTCCTCTTTGAGCTATCTTCAATGAAAATATAATACTATATTTTTACAAATCTTCAGTGTCTCGATCTCCAAGTACATTCTAAAAATTATATTTTACTTAAAAAAAATAGAATTATTAAAAAGTTTTAAAATTTTTGTCTAGACATTTTTATTCTGCATTTATTTATTTATATATGTTATTATAATTAGTAAAAACATTATTAATGAATTTTTCTTCGGTTTACAGCAAACACAAATTTAGATTGGACGAGCACGGGAGTGGCTACGATACCCGATTCCTTACCGACAGTTCATTCTAGCGAAGATTGGCAAGCTGCTTTTGGCTTTCAGCCTGAATCATCTCGAACGAATCACATTATAGTAAAATCCAGTTCAACTGATACGTCGAGAGTACCATTCAATTCCGAAGGTTTTGCAGATGAAGAGGTTTATATAAATGCACCTTACACCGTTGCACTCACAGAACCATCTAGTACCTTTACATCTAACTTACTTGTAAATTCATCCGCATCTAAGTTTATGGCAGATTATCAACAAAATTCATTACAACAAAGGCTTAATATACAGGTAAGCGGAATAATAAAATTTTCGGGTTATGTGTCTAAAATATAACATGTTCATTAAGCATATTCTCTTATTTCAAAAGTGATACGACAAAAAAATTAACTTTTTCAGTGAAGAAAAAAAATTATTTTTAAAACTGACAGAAAATTATTGACTAATCAAATAATATCGGCGAAAAGAAAATATTCTTAATATAGTAAAATATCATTTTTGTTTGTTATCACCATTAAAAAACACTGTCATTTTAACAATTCGAAATTAATTTATTTGTGATGATTAATAGTGATGTTTATCAAATTTCTTATTAGTTTTCCAAATTTTTCTTACTTAATTAATTTTGTCAAATTATTTTTATTTAATTTCATTATAATAATAATCCTCGAAAATCATGTTTTTTTGTTGTTACTTTTGAAATGAAGGAATATAAAAATATGTAAACATTTTTATTGAAGAAAAATAATTTATAATGTTAAAAATCAAATTTCTAAGGCGCAGCAAACTCAAGAAAATTGTGAGTACATAAAACAGAACGGCCACGCTACAATGGAAGAAGTTCGGAATCATTGTGACGCAGGCTCGGAAGTGAAAGCAGACGACGATTTAGGTTTTGATCCTTTCCACGAAACGCAGAAAGCATTAGCAGAACTTTTAGCAGAAGATGAAATGCAAGTGCAGCAACAGAAGATGTTCCAGCAACAACAGCAAAGAGAACGAGAAGAGCAAACTAGGGTGCAGCATCAACAAACTCTCGCTAGCCTTAATCAACAACACTTTCCACAAGTAAATATTCTTATCGGATTCTTTTACTTTTTATTAATATGTTTAATATAATTTTCAGTAACGTGTACGTTATTGTTTACATGTGCCATTTTTTCTCATTTAAAAAAATTTTTTTATTTTTTTACTTTTTGTGTTTCGAAATTCGCTATAGTAAAACTGTGAAGGGGAGTCATATCAGAGAATAGAGGTGACTCATGAAAAATATTATCATTGATAAGAAAATTGTTCAGACCTATTTTTTACAACAATGCGCGTCATAAAAGATTAATATTAATTTTAATTTTAATTTGTAATGAAATTTGGTGGTACATTTCAGAAAAGCTCTATATAATTTATAATAATGCAAAATATTGATGCAAAATATATTCAAATTAAATGATATTTATATATTATTTTTATCGATAAATACGCGCATTTATCGATAAAAAGGAAGTGCAAATATAGACCAATAAATTTTAAGAAACAAATACTCTTTCAGGTTGCTCATATAGCACATTTGCAGCAACAAGCCCAGCACTTGCAAAATCTACAGGTGCTTCAATCGCATTCCCTCTTGTCCCGTCTTCCGCAAAATTTGTTACCAAGCGGCGCGCAGAGCCCTGCACAGGGTACTGTAACGGCTACCACTTTAGGACAACGCAGTCGACTCCCGCCACCTGGTTTTCCTGGTTCTACGCCAAATCATATGAACTCATTCGGTCTCGGTATACCGCGACCAGCACCAACGAATAGTGCCCTCTCTGGTTAGTGTTCCTCCAATTTTTCCAGGCACCAGGAATCATAGTGCACAGTGCGTGAAATTTACATACGTATACGATAATCTGTCGTAGCCGTAGACAAAAATAAATTATTGATTCGCGGATTTCTATAGACAAGTAAAAAGATCTGTCTGACCAAAAAAATCACACGAACATGTAGATATTTAAATGGGATGTTGCCACTTGCGATCTGTTAATCGTCCAATGTACGTTATGTTTGCAGGAGCGCAGCCACCTCAACCACAGAGTGCTTACCTTCCAAATGGAAGCCCGCTTCTCAACACGCAAAGTAATAATTCTACCTATTAATCTTCTATACTGAGATATTTTTAATATATAGATTATAATATCTGATAATTTCCTGTACAGACATCGGCAAGTGCACGGGCGACGTTTATACCCTGAAAGATTGGTGCGAAATTAATAATCAACAGCAACAGTTTCACCATCAAGCGTTACATCAGAAAGGATGGAACAATTTCGGACCTATCGCAGATTGGACTTCGATTGATCCGGCTATAGTCACATCATCTAGACCTCTTCCATTCCAAACTACCAGCGCTTGGCAGTTTTCTCACATTCATCCTTCTCATGTTGTAACTCATAACACGCAACAGGTACGATACAATTTTTTGTATCTTTGTCAATTTGTACTTTATTATTTATCATAAATATGTAAAAACATGAATCTTATTTAATTCATTCTATATGAAGTGTCATAAATTACATTGACGATGCATGCAAATGTAACAAGTTATGTTTATATTATGTTCAGGAACAGAACGCACCTACTCAGCATTGGGCGATGCAACCACCTCCTGGTTTTGCTGCACCTTCAACTACAGGACAATTGAATAATCCGCAGCCGAACACGACCGCACAACCGCACACCAAGCTCATCTCTGCAGGATCGGAAATCGAAAGTAAGTTGATCGCGATCAAACTCCGTGCAAACTAATAAAAAGAAAAAGAAAAATACTTTATAATGCGCGGTATCGAGATATATAGGCCGTCTATATTGCAGACCTATAAGTCTAATGCGTGAGGCGAACGAGTCGAGGCGTCATAATGTTTCCGGACGTGGCAAGATCAAATCCAGCAAATGAAAAACAAAAAAAAAGCGACAGTCGATAATGTACGTTTTCCTAACGCTTCTTTATCTTAACGTTTTATTTCAAATCTCCATTTATTTGTGCGAGTATTTACTCGAATGAAATATCGGAATAAAATATGAGTTTCCTCGATGTAAGTGAAGATTGTACGTCTCAATACATCTTCCTCATGATATTATCATTTCTGAATTATAGCAAAATTTATCATATTTAAGTCTGACTATCGTTATAAGCGAAGTGTTATGTAGGATATGAAATATTAAACGGATAAATGATTAAAATAATCAAAAGAGAATGATTACGATATTTGCAAGTACATTTCCTTTTTTGAATTTTTATAATTAAAACGCTATTTTCTCCGAAATATTAAAATTGAACATTATTGTCCTGTTTATAAGCTTTGTGAGATTGAAAGAAATATAACAGGAAAGTATTAGTATGCAAATGTAATGAAACTTTTTAAAGTATTGTTTAATTTTACATCTGTCATAGTTAGAAATGTGTTTTAAATTAAAAGCTTTGTTATCGTATATTTAAATGCTCTATTGTTATATTGAAATGAATTGTTATATATGTATATGTACCTAATAGTACGGTACTATAAATCGTCTTATATATATTTTGCTATTTTATAATATTACTTTTATCACGTTGAAATGTAATTGATTTTATCCAATCATTTTAAAAAGTTAGAATTCTTTTATCATTGAGCAAGATATAATATGACATAATTTTACTGTCGCTACAGTAAAATAACGTGGAGTTTTATTATCTTTCAAACACATTAACTTTCTTCGAGTGCGTCATTGATATGCATCATCACACTACAAGACACGGACTCGTTATTATAAGAAGAAAAAGGAAAGACTAAGAATTAGGATCTCCTACCTTAGTTTAGATAATCATTTTAACGAATATATTGAGTTATGAATCAAATTGATTGAACACACAAGTCATACGGATTAAGGATTTATCTGTACTAATCGAGAAAACTTTCCGAGCGATATTTCTAATCTTGCGACACATCGATGTATCAATATTGATTAAGGAAAACTACAAAGATGGCTGTTTCGAAAAACATTAACAACGCGACAATGTATTTTATTTACGAATGCGAAGCGAGAAAAAGGAAAGAAAGACAGGGGAATTATTAATACACGATGTATGATAAACGATGCGAGAGAAACGTCTGAGCGATGTTCATACGACGCGAATTAACGTCGAACGAGAGTTATTCCTGTGGCAGATGATTATCGAAAGTATCTCTGCCATTTTAAGGCGAATAACGAAAGAACGTCACATACACAAGAGAACGAATGAGATAATAAAAGTATAATTATTATAAAATTTAATTCAGTAAGATAATCGAGAAATATACGATAATGCGCAATGAAATTCCTGTGGTAGTCTTATCTTCATCTTCTTTTCGTATCCTTTATCAATTTTTGCCTATTAGTAAGTAAGTAACTAACTTAGTTTTATTAAATTTTATCAGTTACAATCGTTTCGTTTTTTTTCATTAGTAATGATTCAAGAATTTTGAGGAAAAAAGATTTACATCTACTAGTCAAATGATTTTATTTAATCATTTATAATAATTTATCGTAAAATTTTATTTCTCTTATATATTCTCTTATTAAAAAAAAACTGACATTTCAAATTTAACGACTGCTATTACTGTTTACAGTTGAAAGTTTCCTGTGTACAATGAGAATCCTTGTCAACGAATAAATAATATGTTCCCTTTGTGGAATTGTTGCAATCTAATATATTGCTATTCACGACAATGCAATCTGTTGTATTAGAATCAGGATAAGGGGATGAACTGAAAAAATTCAAATCACATAATAAGTATAATAATCATAAAATAATAGAAAATCTGTACATAAATAATTCGAAAAAACATCTTATTTATAGCTTTGGAATGACTTGAAAAAAAATTCAATAATATGCGCTCAATACGTTTTATATAAATAATATAATATAATGAAATTTTACAGGAAAATTTAATGTTCGTGAAAGTTGAGCTAAAGTGAAGTGTATTAAAGGAAGGAACTTACCTGTAAGAAACACCAAGGAATCCACAATTATTTTTAAAAATATCTGTTATATAAATAATAGCTCTCGTGTGTGAGCAAGAGATATTTATGCCTAAAATGTAAATTTAATTTATTCATAATTTCCTTTTATCGCCTCTTTTCTATTATTCTAGCAAGCAATGTCTTTTTGTATGCAATAATTAGATGCAATTGATCTCTCAGTACCGCATTTTGGTTGTATGTGTCCACCATTGAAGTACAAATCGAGGAGACCTATTTTGAACTGTATCCCAAGATCTGATGTGTGGAGAACTACTACACATTTGGCATCCGAGTCGCAAAGTCTGTCTTGACAGTCATTGTGTTTGAATAACGGCCATGCGGGATCAGCACCAATGATATGTTCAATCGTGAAGCCAAGACTCTGCATATTTTTCGCAGCGAAACCACTCACGTGCGCGCCGAGGCTGTGACCGATGTATGTTATCTTTTCTAATGGAACACCACATTTTTTCATCAAGGTAATGGTATAACTGCAAAATGAAAATCGATTATTATGGACCATCGCATCTTTAGTATGTATACACGTGCGTGTGCATATACATATACACATACATATACACACAAGGTATCCTATTTTAACTTTTACATCGAAATATCTTCAAAAATATAAATACAGAAAAATGTTTCAGATAACAAGTAAAACGGTTTCGAGAACAACGTATTTTGAACATGTTTTTTTTTTAGGTAGAGATGCAGAAAAGATATAAAATGTCATCTCCATTTTTTAAAATAAAATTATATGATTTTTTTTACATAATATGATTTTTCTAATTATTCTGTTTATATAAAAATAAGGTACGATATAAAAAAATAGTTTATTATTAAATATATAAAAAATTAATAGTTTACGAAAAATTTAACATTTTATGTGTCAGAATAAAATATAAAAAAATTTCTTAAACTATTAGATTTTTTATATCTCTACCTTAATACTTTTATGTGCAGAATAATTAGAAGAATCATATTTTATAAAAAAATTCTATTAAAAAAGTATTAATTCCATTAAAAAAGTGGACTTTTATATATTTTTGGAGCCTCCACTTAGGAAAAAAAATAATGTGATCAAAATATGTTCCCCTCGAAACTGTTTCGCTTTTATCTGAGATGTTTTTTTCGTATCTTTCAAAATATTTGTTTGTTAAGATTAAAGTAAATCATTCACACACACACACACACACACACACACACATGCATGTATGTATGTGTATATGTAAAGTATAAGTATAATAGAATACTATTTTATCATTATTTAATTATTAATATTATTTTATTTTGTGTATTTTTGAAAATAGTTATACTTTGCCAAAAGATGACCTATCTCTCGAGTGTTGATTACCGCACTAGGATACTCCATGAACTTCAAGATGGGCAACCCATCTGTGCAAGCTCCTTGAGCCCAATCCAGCGCAAATACTGTGTGATTCTATCAAAGAAAATTATTTTGTTAAATGAATTGATGATTTATTTTATTAAGTAAATTGATGAATTTTGACGTAGTATAGAATTCATCAATTCATCGGGAAATTATTTTATTAACTTTTATTTATTTATTTTTTACTATTATATATTTTACAATACGTTCACATTGAAATTAAATTTTTGTCTTTTGTAGGTGCGTCGTACTTTTATTCCAATTATTATTTATGCAAAAGTATAATATCTACATGTTTCAATTGCATGTCCAGATCTCTAGTATGAGACGAATTTGCGTAACTAATGAAGCCATGGACTACAAAGATGAACGATTGCGACGGATCAATATTGTTACAGAGCTTATTTTCCTGAACTTGTTCGCCTGTAACATGGCTAAAACGAAAATAAATATAATTGGCACAACAGATGAATCAATGGATGTTTGCACCTGTTTTACCTGTTATACAGATATAATGATACCGATTTAACGCCGAAAATACAGGAATTTGACAATTTCTCCAGCACGTTAGGTTCGGCACGTAAATACGTGCATTGTATAAGGAAAAGTACAAGTATCGGAACAATAGTTCTCATCGTGTGCAAAAAGAGATATTAATGAATTATCAAAAAGAAATTGATAGATACTAGATCAAACTTTGCAATAGTACGAGCTTTTATACGTACACAAGTACATGTTTTGTGCATTTATTACGCATATAAGTATTGACACTTGCAACATCAGCGGCTGTGTAAATTATTTAGCAAATGCAAAAAATTTGTGGTAATATTATGATATCAATGGCAAATGATCAATGTATGCTGCCGCGCGCATCTTTTCTTTTTATAGTTCGTTTTCATTTCCGATATTATGCGGCAATAAAAGATGATGAAGTGCTGTACAGACAAATATTGAATATGATGATACATCCTTGATGTTATTATTTATCAATATTGCAGTGCGACACTTGTCATGTGTCCTTGTACTTGATATCTCGTCAAGTTGTCATAGAACAGAAAATTTTTTTTAGATTATGATTTAACGATTGTGTACTTTCACGAAATCCAAATAAGAATACCGACATCGTAAACGGAAGAATTACAAGATTTCTGCAAAGCAGTCCTGTACAGATGAAGTTCTATTTTCTTCGACGAACACCATTTGTATTCATATAAGTTTACAAAAATAAATGAGAAAATTTGCATATTTTAAATTCACGAATTAATTATATCATTGAAATGCAAACGAATATATTATAATAAGCAAGAAATTTACTTATATAATATTTATACGTTGTGAAGTTGTTTGACAACAATAATTATAACAATTGCTACCTACATACTTAAAATATATTCTCTTCTCGTAAGAAGCATGTTTAAAACTAAATGCAACTATTTGTCGATATTAAAAAGTAATAAGTAATAATGAGTTCAATAATTATAATTATAATAAAAATAAATTAAAAATTATCTAATTTAAAAATAAAATATAACCATATTTTAAATATTTATTTAATTTTTATTTATTTATTTGTAATTACTATGCTTCGTTTTCTAAAATTGAAGGCTTAATATCGTTGATTAACTTTAAATAAAGAGAATCCTGGAAACGAGATACTATTAAAGAAAATAGCGATCTTACGGAAGTTCGCGTTATTAAAGTTTAAATGATAGTAATACTGATAGCATTAATTTTATGATTTATTTTGTAGATGTATAGTAGATATGTTTTTAATGTGTGTGTGTGTGTGTGTGTGTGTGTGTGTAGGTTTTTAGCATTACAGATATGCATACTTATTTATGTAGCATCTATATAAAAAAATCATGAATTTAATATCACAAAGCAATAATTAAAGCTATCAAAATATATCGAATCGCACAAGGCGACACGATTGAAGAACGGAAAGTCTGTTCTTTATTTCTGCACTCTCTGAACTGGTGCACATAGTACAATAAATTGAAGTGAAATAAAATATATGTTTGTTTCACTTCAACTTATTGCACTGCTTGCATCGGTTCAGAGAATGCAGGAATAAAGAACGGACTTAAAAAATACTGGATATGTCGTCGAAGTCTCCGAGTCCGAAGAAGAATTTCCAGTGTTATCGTTAAAAGTTTATTTGTAAAATTGCACAGTGCGATAGCGGCTCATTTCTTAGCATAGTTAAAAATATCTTTCGAATAATCATGGTAGAAGAGATTCAAAAGAAACTTCAAAATGAAGCCGACACGCTACGACAAATCCAAAAAGGTTAAGAGACGTTCATAATTATTTTTGGAAAGTGTTTAATATAAATTTTGTTCCTCCTTTAAGTGCAGCAATGATATCTGTAAAATAAAGAGTCGCCGAATGCGGATCTAAAATTTTTAAAAGTTTCTGACGAAATTAATCATTGTTTGTACTCACAATTAACAAATATTTTCTGACCATACATTCTCAATTTTGTAATTAATTAATTCGACTATTAATTATTACTGACTGAATCTAATCGATATTGGCAAAAATCATTAAATAAAAGGAAGCTGAAGCTCCTCGTTTATCTCTCATTGGGAGCTTTCCAACAAGCGACACTATGTAACACAATGATCATTTCATAATCTTTGTTTAACAACATTGGCATAAACAACAAGGATGTAATGATTCATTGTGTTATACTGTGTCATTTGTTTCTTGTTTGAAAGCTCCTATTATTTTTAATATTATTGTTTTTTTAATTTGATCCTGTCTTCTTTGCTAGACGATATAATCAGTAATGTAGACAAAAATCATTATATATAAAGAAAAAGCACTAATGAATTTATTGTATTTACAGAATACAACAAGGTACTGAGTCAAAGACAGCAACTAGATGGTCAGCTGAATGAAAATATCATGGTGAAGAAAGAGCTAGATATTCTAAAAGAAGAGAACGATGTATTCAAGCTGATAGGACCTGTGCTCGTGAAGCAAGAATTGTGTGAGGCCAAACAGAATGTTGACAAGCGTATGGATTACATCAAGTCTGAACTGTAGGTACTTTTATTAGAGTAATATTCATAGTGTTCTTATTTCAGACCTGTCTTAATCCTTTGAGGACCAAAACTTTATAATAAAATAACTTATAGAAGATCTTGTTTTCTAATGACTTTTAAAGTTGTTAAATTTTGTTCTGGCCTCAGAATCTTAAAATTCGAAGGACTCCTTCCCTCCATAAATCATATGAAAAAAAGTAGATATAGAAAAAAAGTAGACATCTTAGGGCCTTAGCAGAAAGCTGATGACTTATAATCTTAATGGGCCTTTTACAATAAGCCGTTAATCATAAATTAGAAGTCAGAAGCTAAAAATTGACGACTGTTGGTCGATTTTTAGCTTCTGATTTCTGATTTATGACTAATGTAGAAGGCCCATGACATGCATTCTACAATAAGTAATTATTTAAGCTTTAAGTCTTAAGCCGTAAAAAATTGACCAAGTCACAGTTGAATATAAGAAGAATAATTGACTATGATTGATCGATTTCTTATGGCTTAAGACTAAAAGTTTAAATAATGACTTATTGTAGAAAATCCATAAGATATAAGTCATAAAATAGTTATTGTGCATCTAAGACTTAAATCACTAAGACTTAAGTCATAAGACATTGTCTTATACATGAGCTTTCTGCCAAGGCCCTTAGACTGTACTCCAAGCATCTTAAATGTAAAAATTAACTATAAATACTGGCCTAAATAAGAACCAATCATGTGAATACTAATCTAGAAATCAAACTACAAGTCTGTTTTGGATTTACATGTAAGGAAACGAATTTTAGGAAACGTGTGGACGACTTGATGTCTACTCTAGACAAGAAGCTGGACTCGCAGAGGGATGTAATAGATAAATTGCAGCAAGCGTTTCAACAGGCCCAGATTAAAGCATCGATAAACCAATCGAAATCATAACTTTGTGGAATTATTACACTTGTATAATTAATAACTAATGCTTAAGTGACACTATTAAGTATAGTCTCTTCATAATTCGATACATGAATGTCGTGTTTTTCATTTATTTATACTAGACGGTTATTAATACAAATCTTGGCTATGTGTCATAATCATTCAAGTGCAATTTATGTAAATTAAATACTGTATAAACTCTCTTTCCACAATATTCTCCCTTTCCTCAAGATCGATCCTTACATTGATTAATAAGATGACTGACTACTTTCTAACGTAAAATTTAACTTCAATTTATTCTTTATCTTAGTCTAATCTTTAGAACATTAGAAAAAGATAAAAAATAAGTTAAACTAAAAATAAGATTGATCTACATTAATAGAAATATATAAGAATTATTTCAAAGATATGTGAACACACATTTATGAACAATTATTGAAACGGTACGTAGTGCATGCAATAATGGAGAGTGATGGAGAATCGAAAATCAACATGGCGACGACGTAGTAGTACCGCCTGTCTTGAAAGAGTTGAAAGTAATTCGAGAATTCTCATATGACTGTTAATTTTCATAGCTGATTAAGAATTTTAACTGGTAAACAACACATCAGGCAAGAACGAAAATGTTGTTAACATTGAAGCCAGATCACAAAAAGCACATGCTGTTTCTAGTTGAACAATCGTCACCAGGTAAGAGCGAATCGTCTGCCGATGAATGAATTTGTTTCACAGAGAAACGTAAAGTAAAGCATATTTTCTCCGTAGTTTTACAGGATTTCTGCAAATTGGCTCTAGATTATTTGCAAAAGGGCCCGAATGTCAAAGTGTACAACGCTGCTGCTCGTATGTATATCCGGATAACCAAATTTTTTGCAAGTAGATTTTGAAATTATCTGCTAAAAATATTCTGCAAATTGTGTTCATTGAATGTCAGCAGAAATATAAAAATCAGAGTTGTATCTTATATTTCAAGATTACATTTACATATAATTTTTACATATTTACATCAAATTTACATGAATCTTTTTCACATAGACAATACAAGCAATATATAAAATCAAAATATGTATTGGATAACATACAGAAAGAAATTGTTTTGTAATTATTAATATATCTAACTAGAGTATTGATAAATAAATATATATAAGCGAGATAGAAGTTTTATACAATCTAATACAAAGACAAAGAACATAGGCTTCAATATCATTTCTACAGATTGTTTATATGTGACATATAAGACATAAGAGACTTGTTCTTTTTAGCTAAACTTCTTACAGACTTCTCTTTTTTTTCTCCAACATGGAAAGAAAAAAGAAAAAAGATAAACCGTACAGAAAGTTTAGCTAAAAAGAACAAATCTGAGGTCTATTTTTTTTAGCTCAAATAGTATGTGTATACTTTAGTGGCATAAACTTATAGTAAAATAAATATATATTTGATATTTGGCGAAAGCGAGAAATAAAGTTCTACTACAGGAATAGAAAATCTATAATAGAACATCTATAGTTTATATAGTTTACATTAATTGTATACATAGATATAGATTACTATGTATAACATACAATCCTGATCAAAATTTTCTAACAGAATGTAATGACAGAATGATTGCAGAAATTAAACCACATCCGTCATTTAATAATCATTTAAATGATGAAATTTACTTTATTTAATCCTTTTGTCAATGCATGAATATGCAGGTATATATTTATTGAATTAAAAACACAAGTTTAACACAAACATAGATGACTAATAGATGCTAAAATGGTCAAAGTGACATACGATTGCTAACTATATAAGTTACTGTACTAACTATATAAGTTATTGTTCTTGTTTCAGAAAAGTTAAACGTTGAGCTGGAAGTGATTAAAAATTCGGTAGAGGGTTTGGTCAATCTTTTGCTGGAGAGTTGCAAATACAAGGTAAGATGTATCAAAGTAGTGCAAGACAACAGGATGTTTACTATCTGAAAAAACCTGGAGAATCTAAAAATTTTGAGTTTTATAGCTAAGCACGGAGGATTTCCGGGATTCCATAGTCGCCTTAGGTTTCACGGAAGACAAGGAGGCGATATTGAGTAAATTATATAGCATTAAGAAGGACGAAGTCTCGGATGCGTTGAAAGAAATTGGATTTAAATTGCCGAGATACCATGACATGGAATGGAGATTTGAAGTGCAGGTAGCGGAGTCTTCATATCTCTCGTTATTTTCCTCAGAACGTTTCAATTTATAATTGAATTATATTATTCTGCATTATAGACTGCGTCAAGATCTTTATTGAAACAAGTTGCACCACTCATCTCTCTTGACTTGTCGCTGAAGAATCCCGATAATCCCGAGGAAATTGAACACGTTCTGCTACAAACCGATCCAACTAACTTACTTCATATAACTCAAGAGTTGGAGGAAGCTCTGCAAGAAAGTCGCAGTCAACATATTAGGAGAATTTCAAGAGCAGTAAAATGAGGCTTTTTGTAATTTGTATTTGAGGCAATTTGTAAAAAAAAATATAATGTGTAATATATAATTATATATAAAAATAAATATAAGTATAAAAGATTGATAAGTATAAAAATATAAACAATAAAAAATTTTTTATCTAATAAAGAATACTGAATGAATGTATTTAAATCACATTTATTATCACATTATTATCAGTATCTGTAAAGTTTCATTCCGATCGGATTATCCCAAATAATAAGTGACAATAATCGACATGCATAACATGCATATTATATCCGTATACATTATACTAAGGGGATAGGTACATTTACATATGTAATTGGATAATTTTATTGGATTTCTGTGCCTATATAAAAGAAATCTGCGCTCTTCTTCCACTTATACTATTATATCCACTTATACTGGATACAACAGTTATCATTACAAGTTATTCTTTATCACAAATTATTGATGTTTTACAAATTAGAAGTTTTTAATTGCCTCGAATTCAGAATCTAGATCCACTGTTATTTTTATGCATTATATCTCTAAATGATCCACTTAATTACCAATATTTTGCAGAAAATGGAGTCCCTTATTACAGTAAGTACCGAAAATTTGACCATTTTCTCTGAGAATTTCACCATGGCGTTTGCTGATGTACTAACAAGGACGATCGGACCTCGAGCTATGCAGCAAATTATGTCTTTCAATAATAAAACTGTAATGGATAAAATACCTCCGGATATGATACATTTAATCGATCCACATTGGTTACTTTCGATTTCTTTATATTCCTAAATCATGTTTGTAAAGTAAATCTCACTAAGTTCTGGAATTACAGGTATCAGTTTCCATCGATGGATCCAATGTGGCATAAAATTCTAGGCCTTGTGATGATTGTGTTAGGATTTATGGGATGGTGCGGTAATGGTGTTGTAGTATATATATTCTTGATGACACCCTCCCTAAGAACACCGAGCAATCTTCTAGTGGTAAATTTGGCATTTTCGGACTTTATTATGATGATCATTATGACGCCTCATATGGTGATCAACTGCTACTATGAGACCTGGATGTTAGGTAATGCAAACTTTGTCTTTCCATTATACTAATTATTGCATTTATAATATAAGTTTAAATTGATAATGTATAAGTAATATATGAATTAATTTTATATTAAGGACCGCTAATGTGCGACATGCATGCCATGGTTGGTTCCTTATGTGGATGTGCTTCAATATGGACTATGACTGCTATTGCTTTGGACAGATACAATGTTATAGTAAAAGTATGTATAATATACTTTTATATTATTATTAGTATGTGAACAGAAACCAACTGCCTAAATCTCTTTAGGGTATGGCGGGAAAGCCACTCACTATCAAGAAAGCATTACTCGAAATTTTAATAATCTGGTTCTTCGCTTCAATATGGGCAATTTTGCCCATGGTGGGATGGAATAGGTAATATTAAGATGATAAAAAATTATGATTATAAGAAAATATGCTTTACAATAGAAAAGAGAGTGTTGTAATATATTTTATAACGTGACGATTAGATATGTACCAGAAGGCAATATGACTGCTTGTGGTACAGATTATCTTACCAAGGATTGGAGTTCCAAATCATACATCTTGGTGTACTCGATATTTGTATATTATACGCCGCTGCTTACTATAATTTACAGTTATTATTTTATCGTTTCGGTAAGAATATTCATACAGTACAGCATTGAAAAAAATTTAGTGTATACCACAAATACATTTTTAAAATTAATAGACAGTAGCTGCTCATGAAAGAGCAATGAGAGAACAAGCTAAGAAAATGAATGTTCAATCTTTGCGATCTGGAGATAATCAAAATATAAGTGCAGAAGCAAAACTGGCAAAGGTAAGACAAAAAAAGAAATATATTAAAATTATAAATATATTATATGCGCTAAAATATTGAAAGAATGATTTGAAGAAAGTCAGGATTGACATATACATTTACTTTATTAATTATAGGTGGCATTAATGACCATTTCTTTGTGGTTTATGGCATGGACGCCGTATCTGGTTATTAATTATGTCGGCATTTTCGGTATTGCTAAAATTAGTCCTCTTTTCACCATCTGGGGATCTCTCTTTGCAAAGGCAAACGCTATATATAATCCAATTGTTTATGGAATAAGGTAAATGAGATTTTTAAGTAGGATATATATATATATAATCATTAATATTCTTGTATCGCATTAATATTTTTTTACTCTACACAGTCATCCAAAATATAGAGCGGCACTAAAGGAGAAATTACCTTTCTTTGTATGTGGCTCGACTGAAGATCCATCTGCGGCTGCGAAAACTGCGGAAACGTCATCTATTACAACTACAACATAATTCCAAGAGAACAATGTATTGTAATTTTTATATATTGTGATATATGTTTAGGATGTGTTTCTTGAAAAAACGAATCAATAATATTGAACATATTATATACATACATACGTGTGCGTGTGTGTGTGTGTGTGTGTGTGTGTGTGTGTTTGTATGATAAATGTAAAATGTATGAAACTGTAATTTGTAAAGCTTCAATAATCAGCGATTATGCAAAAAGCTACATATATGGAAATTTTGAGTGGATTAATTCCATGATATGCTGTATATAATGAATTCTCATTTTATTTCAATCTTCTCTTTTGTTCTTTACTTTTATTGTAGATGATTAAATATTTGCAGAAATAAATAATAGACGGCATTTAGTGCCAATTGTATTAGATATAAGGATATTATTCAATAAATCATTTGACATATAATGATTTAGTAAAATATCTATAAGCTCTTAGATATAATGAAAAAAATACTAATGCATAGTATTAGATGTGTATTAGCGTGTCCTATTGTAATTAAAATAGCTAATTTCTGGAAATTATGTGATTTTAGAGAAAAATGTTTCAAATAGAAGCTGTATAACTTTAAGAGGAACATGAGATATTATTGGTTTGACCTTAGATAGTTGTTTAAAGTGAAGAGCATCTTCAATTTTTTTAAAATAGAATCTATTTTTTTCCCTCTATTTTTTTCTTTACATATTCTTTACATATTCTTTACGTATTCCGAGAGCTCTTCAAAACAGTATATAATGAAATTTATTTTCGAGTTGTGAGATTTGAAACATTTTTACGTAAAAATGAAAATAAGAGGCCCAATAAATGAGAATGGATTGAGTAGATTAAAATGAATTCATGTTTTCAGAAAGATGCATTCACGAATATTGAAATGAACTCTTTTTCAATTCCAATGCGTTTTTATTCATTTATAGGAATTGAAATCTCGTTTACTAGGTAAGTATCGCTAGGTAGCACTATCTTGTATCCCCCTCGTACAACTTTTGTCTGAAACTTTCTCTAAAGTCTCGTGATTTCCAGAAACTGATTGTTTTAATCAAAATAGGACACTCCGTATATGTACAAACACGTTAAAAAATATTTATGGTTGAATAGAATTTGTTTGTGATTGCATGCAGTATCTATTTAATTCTATAAAATTAATTACAGATATTGTTATAGCGATATTACGACAGATATTATAATACCGCATATCGCTCACGGTATAATTTTTAGCGACATATATTTGCTAATTTCAAAGTGACCATATATTCCAAGAGATGATAAAATTTACAACTGCGCTATGAGCCATTTATGAGAGATTCGTCTTGTGGTGCGGCCGAACCATACAATGTTTCATAAACTAATAGCTATAATGAAACTGTTTAGCCCTCGATTTTTCTGTTAAAGTTTTTCGCATATTCGCTTGGCTGGGGCTCTCGCTTTGATCACAGTTTTTCTTATATAAAATATCACGGTTAAATATATTCTCGTTAGTGATGTATCTCTCTTGCACACGTTATTTAATGCAGCTATTTACAACTCATGATGATGCGATTTCTGTATGACGAGAATATAATAATATTTCATGGCATTTACATCCATTTAGTAAATGTATTTCATCATCAAAAAAATCATTGTTATTTTATGCGACAGGTTTTTCGCCTTCTGTAACCGTGGTAGTCGTGGACATTGTGTCCGCGCCAGGCGCCGGCTCGGTAGCACACGCCAGAGATGGGAACCTTTGGAAGAGAGCAGCTCGATACTTGGGATGGCTAGAATCACATAGAAAAAAAATTAGTTCCGCTAGAAGCATGTGAGACAATTCATCTACTTTACGTATTCTATCTGTAAAAATACATTCCAATGACGACATACTTCAGAGAATGGAATTGTTGACTTACCTGATGCCATACACAATGGGATTGTACACAGCATTGGCTTTGGCAAAGAGAGAGCCCCAAATTGTGAAGAGCGGGCTGATTTTGGTCGTCTCAAAGATGCCTGCGAAGTTGATGACTAGGTACGGAGTCCACGCCATAAACCACAAGGAGATGGTCATGAGAGCTACCTATAATTAGTAACATTGTTATAGCGACCATAAGTGAGAACAAATTGGTTCGAGAGAGTTTACAAACAAGAAGGCTTGCCTTTGCCAATTTGCATTCGGCGCTGGTGCTCTGGTTTTCGGCGGATCGCAGAGAAGCGACGTTCATCTTCTTCGCTTGCTCACGCATGTTCTTCTCATGAGCGGCAACCGCTTGAATGATGAAGAAGTAGCTGTAGATGATGAGGAACAGCGGCATAAAGTAGACAAAGATGCTATAGAACAGGATATACGATCTGGATACTATGTCCTTAGTTAAGTAATCGGTACCACAGGCAGTCATGTTGCCTTCGGGCACGTAGCTGTGAAAAGGAAATGTATGTTGTTAATAATTCATAATATTTTTTAATAATAGTTAATATTATTTTAGACTTTTTGCATCTCACCGATTCCATCCGAACAGTGGGGCGATTGTCCAAAGTATCGTGAAGAGCCAAATAGCGAATATACGAATAAGGGCGCCTTTAATGGTCATTGGCTTAGCAGACAAGCCTTTGACAATTACGTTATACCTATCGAATGCGATCATCGTCATCGTCCATATGGAGCCACACCCGAACAGGGAGCCCGCCATGCCGTACAATTCACAGAACAAGGGTCCTAGCACCCAAGTCTCATAATAGCAATTGATTACCTGTGCACATCATTAATTGAATATACAGATCACACCGAATATTATTGTTGCATCGAATATTTCGATCGTGAATATTTTGGATTAGAACGCACCATAGCTGGAGACATGCACAACATCATGAGGAAATCAGAGATGGCAAGATTGACGACGAGCAAGTTGCTCGGAGTGCGGAGACTCTTGGTGGTGGTGAATATGTATATCACCATGCCGTTACCGATGATAGATATTGTGCCAAGGACGCCGATAGCGAAACCAAGAAGTCCATGCCACAGAGGATTCATCGGCGGGAATTGGTACCAGTGAACGTCGACCATGTGGAGCATCTCCGGTGGCACTTTGTCGACCACTGTTTGATTACCAAATCCGCCTCCTTGTGCTGCCCACGTGTAAGCTGCATGGCTTGGTCCGGATACGAAAGACATGGTGAACTGCGAAAATCTCTATATTAATTAATATTCTCTTATGCGAGATTATTTATATACTATTTATAGTCTGGACTGCTTAGCGTTGAAAAAATTTGAAAAGAAAAATGCGAAACAAAAATAGGAAGTTATTCGACATCAGCAAGTTTGAGCCTTCATCGAATTTTCACGTTTTCTTGCAGATAATTACGGCAAAAAAAATAAATTCGTGCGGACTTGCCTCCGTTCGTACTTGGAAAAAATCGTCGTGGTGAACGAACTAATCCAAGTAAACTATAGGATCGTCGGCGTGATGTCTTGTAACGGCTTATCCGTGAAGACGCTTGCAGGTAGAGTTCCCTGTTCGGTTCACCATCGGCTGCGGCTCGAGGCTGCGCGACGACAAGCCGCGCTTAAATATACGTCGCGATCTTACGTGTTTGCGACTATATACAACATTTTTCTAAGTCAGCAAACAGTCTTAAGAAGTTCTCTATTAGATTACGCAGGATTTGGGAATACCTTGGGAGTACCTTGAGTTGTCGCACACAGAAACCTTATGAGAATGCAACAAGAATAGAATGTGGAAAATCACTTGATGGTACAGATTGATCAAAATCAACGATTCAATATCTAATCTTAATAAATTCTCTAATTGTTAAAGAATCATATTTATATTAAAATACCGTAAATAATTTTAACAAGTATTTGTTTTTATATATCTTTTATAAATTATTTTTTTAAATTTTTAATTAGTTTATATTAAAATAAAATATCGTAAATAATTTTAACAATTTATTTTATATATCTTTTATAAATTTTAGTTCACATATTATATATTATAGTTTCAAAAGAGAGTAGATTAGGAGGGAATATAAATTGTAAATACAAATAAATATATAAAGTTTTATTTTATTTAAGATTCCTGAGTAGTCACTACAGAAGAATCATTTGAATTGTAACATTAAAAATGACAAAAAATAATAACGTAAATTTGTGTTACACGTCATTTGTAAATAAAAGCAATTTAGATAAAACGAAATGATAAAATCGTTTTAAAACAATTGTAAAAATGAACGAAAGTTATCCTTATCCCCCCCTGACAGTCAATGTATTTATACATAACAAATAGAACTCGTCAATTTCGAACGAGATACTGCGCGTTAAATTCAAACGCAATCGATAGTAAGATCGAAATTTAAACTTCGAGATAATTCGTGGGAAATTCGATTCAAAATGGCTCGAGCCGAGAACTGCCGAGAAACAAACAGAAACAAATATTGGTAGAGCATGCAGAGTTGAATAACGGTTATGTGCGCCATAAGTGATGGACGATGATGGATCGGTGATAGCATCGTAATATTTGTATCAACGACAAGTACTTTCAAAGATCAACACGACAGGTATGCAAAAACAAAGTGCGTTTCTTTCGCGCGCGATAAAAAAATATTTTTAACAATTATTATAACCAACAGTCATGGAGGAGAGCCTCGAGGACAGTTTGCTGATGGACGATGGGGATGGCGTCGGGGAACTGACGGCGCAGACGGTGCTCCAGGAGATCGAAAACGCCTGGATGAACGAGAGATTCGCTCCGGAGATCTTGCCGCATCAGTCTGACCTGGTGGACTGCATGCTGCAACAGATCGCGCATATGGAAGAGAACATCAAGAGGTTAGACAAGAACGATCTGCGAGCGCTAGTCCACCGGATGGAGCTTGATCGGATCAAATACGTCATCAGCAGCTACCTGCGAACACGCTTGGAGAAGATCGAACGATATACGATTCATATTCTGTCGGAAGAGGCAAATAGAAGTCCGGAGGAGGCCTATTTGACTCCAGGCGAGTTGCGCTTTGCTAAAGAGTACCTGGCCAATCTGGAAACATTCTTCAAGACAGTGGCTTTGCAACATATGCCACCTAACTTTCAGCGATTTGAAGCTAACAAGTTTACCATTAAACCTAATCTGCAGGCGCATGTGTTTCTGCGTACCAATCAAAGGGTTACCGGCGTAGTCCTGCCTGGCATGTTGAATGAAGAGATAGACTTTGAGGAAGGTTCGCAGCATATCATACAGTATAGTGCCGTAGCAAATTTGGTCAAATCCGGTGTAGTGCAGTTGATTTGACCTAAGGTTGCAGTTGTTTATTCTTCTAGATCAAGGAAACAAAAATGTTTGTGATATATTTTTTTGTGAATCAGTATATACCTATATTTATTATATCATAAAATCTTAATACAATTATTAAAAAGAAATCTTTAATAATTTTTTTCAACTTCATATAAAATATCAAAATTTACATTCTTATTCGGCTATCAACAAGTAACATATTCTCTCATTTCCTACATGGAAGTTTAACATTGTATACAGCAGAGTTAGAAAGTAATATGTTATTTGTAATTGTTACAATTACTTTTTTTTGTGACTGTAATGAATACAATCCTTACTTTGTACATGTACACTACAACCTTAGATCAAAATAATTTTATTAAACAGTATTTAAAGTTTTACCTCAAAAATTAATATATGGTGTTTCCTGTAAATTTTTCTTTATTTCAAGACCTTTTTAAATTTATGTATAATGTAACAGAAAAGAATAGTAATAGTAACAAGTTACTTTTATAAAGTAACTTTCTTAACGTTGGATACAGCGTTGAACACATTGTATTCCCCGATAATTCAATTTTTTAATAGCCATTTAACTATCGGCAATAGTATTGTAGACTTATATTGCAATATATTGTACTTTGTCAGCATTTTTCAAATGAAATTTGATATTTGTATGATATTCAAACAGTTATAAAATGGTATCAATTCTATTAGAAGTCCTTTTATAAATTTTTTATAAAATGCTACTTACAAAAATTTAATAAAGGCCTAATTGTATGTAACTAAAAAGAAAAATAATAAATTTACTTTCTCCAATATTAACACAAATAAGCGAGAAGCTATATTCGATCAAAGAATCTTGATGTTCAATAATATTTTTTTGTGAATTTTACAATTTCCAGTTCAAGCAAACTGCACGCTGATTATTGTTTTGAAATACAATCGTAAACTGAAACTGGAGTACGTGATATTATAAATTAAATTGACTTCCATCTGAACCTTCATATATTTTGTGACGAACCTCCCTATATTTTGTGACGGCATCTTATCAATTCCATCACCAAAGGTAATAGAAATATTATTTCTTTACAGACATTTATAAAAAATTATTTAAAATAACTAAGTATTACAATCTCAGTTTTCACTAAAAATATTGCTTTAAAAAAAATAAACACATTGAATTAAAATTAAGTAAAAAGAAATAAGTAAATTTGTTCCTTTGTTAACACAGACATATGTTGTAGTATACTTCTAGCGTAAATCATAATAGTTCACGCCGTCGTTCATATGCCTGTAAATAAAATATTACACTTAAATATTTTTAAAATGTTTTTTCTCATTCTTTATCACCATGGAGCAATTGATTTACCTCTTTGGCACATTGTTTAAGTTGTTCTGTCATCGCCTTTCCAGTTTCTTGCACCATATTGCTGAAGTGACCTTGTTCGTTTTGTAACAAAATGTACGGATGATCGAATTCTAATAACTGACCTTGATCCATTATCAGTACTTTATCATTGTCCATTATCGTGTTTAATCTGTGCGCTATTGTTAATACTGTGCAATTTTCGAACTTCTTTCGGATCGTAATTTGTATGAGTGCGTCCGTCGTAGGATCCACATTGGCAGTAGCTTCGTCGAGCACAAGTATTTTATTATTCTGTAAAATCGCGCGAGCTAGGCAAATCAACTGTCGCTGTCCGACGCTGAAGTTACTGCCATCCTGTTCGACACGGTAGTCTAAGGAGTCTACCATGTGTTTTAATTTCACTTCTTCTAAAACACTCCACAGATCAGCGTCATGAAACTTATAAAAGGGATCGAGATTATCTCGAAGCGTAGCGGAAAATAATATCGGTTCTTGCGGTATTATGGAGATTTTATTTCTCAAATCGTGAAGCCCAATCTTTTTCGTATCAACGTTATCAATGTAGATAGTGCCGTCGAGTTTTGCCATGCGAAACAAGGCGGCAATTAGAGATGACTTCCCGGCTCCAGTACGACCCACAATTCCAATCTAAAAAATTATATAGAGAGAATGATTTAGAATAATTTAGGATATAATTATAATTATTTAGAATGATTTGAGAATTATTTGATAATGAATTTTTCATTTGTACAAGTGGTAATTACCTTCATGCCAGGTTTAACAACAAAACTTAGAGATTTAAGAACAGGTGATTTAGATTCGGAATATCGAAGATAAACACGGTCGAATTTAATTTCTCCCTTAAAGGGCCAATTACTCGACGGTTTATCTATGGGATTACTCTCGAACGGGTCTTCTTTTTCGAGCTCAGTGAATTGCATTATTCTTTCTACGCTCGTCATCTGTGTGATCGTCTCTGCGGTTTGACGCATTCCGTGCTGTACCATACCGCATAAAATGAGCACTTGCGAAATAGCTAAACCGACATGTCCGGCGAAAGTGTTTTCTAGCAAAGGCAAAAAGATCTGTAGATATTCTATTATTACGAACTCTGTAATTAGTAATAATTGTATCAAATACTTACCATCATTTAATACAACAAAACTGTACGTAATGATGGCGATAAATCCGATAGATACTATGTCCAGCGCTAAACCGAATACTGTGCCAGTTGCGATAATTAGTGAATAGGTGCTAGTGTGTAAATCTTGATGTTCGTCAAATTGTTTGCGAATCATCTCCTGGGCACCGATAGAACGTATTGTCGTCAGACCCGACAATGTGGAGTTTACATGCGAAAACATGGGACTCTTTGCTAAAAATTTAAATGAACGTTAATTTTGAACACGAAAGATTGGCTTTAGATTATCTAGAGAAGGAAAGTAATTTACCAACTCCTTCCAACCGTTTTGTAGTTCGCGCTATTGGAAGATAAATTTTTCTTATTATGCCAAACAAGAAAATCATAATGATTACAGCGAATACAATCCACCAGTTGATAATAATTACTTGAATCAGAATTCCAATCATCACCGTAAATATTTGAATGGATACTGTCATAGTGCTGGGCAATATTTCATCCACTGCGCCCATGTCCTTTGAAAAACGATTTAAAATTCGACCTAAGAAAGTACAATTCTTATTTACTTATATCCCGTTACGTTATATTAATAATTGCTGATTAAACACTAAGAATCGGTTGTTCCATCTTCGAATAAACTATGTGATAATTTACCTACTAAATAAAACAGTAAAAGAGTAAGAACATAAGAGAATTAAACCAGTGGAACATGATGTTTGATTTCCTGCTGGATTCCTAGCTAGATTGAAATCTAGCCATCATATTGACTGCAATATTGACAATGCCAGCATCGCAGTCAATACGATACAAGATTCTAATCCAGCAAGAAAACAAGCATCATGTGCCGCCGGCTTAAAAGAATAAGACAGTGAGCTAAAATTTACCAAAAAATGGAACAACCCAGCCTAAATCAATATACTTTACCAGATGGATTATTATCAAAGAACGACATTGGTGTTTTAAGTACGCACGAAAACATGAAATTATGTAAATTCTTGCTAGCATTCATACATATCTTGACGAAAATTAAATTTTTTATTGTCGTTACTACAATGCTGATAGCAATAAAACCTCCATAAATCCATAAAGCCATATTCGTATCGAGATAGTATATATTCTCATCTATAATTTTGATCTAATTTGAAATAAAGTAATAAAATATTTACGATACAATTACAAGACTGGATATATTATAGAAAAGTTGGAAATACTAACAGTTATTGATAGTAAAATTTTGTGACGATACAGTATCATTGGACATATCTTCTCTATAATAGTCTGTGGTTGTTACAAATTTGGTGAACTCGTTATTAATATTCGATGCATTTTCTATTTGTCTAGTAGATCTCAGTGTGGAAGAAGGCATTGTAAAATTGTTCATTGCATTATGCTGTAGTTCGTGCATAGCTTTGATACGCATCTCTTCTTGCCTCGTCCTGCATCATAAAATTTATTACATCTAGGGATAGATTCTTCCTCATAAAAACTTACCAATAACCAACCCAATAATCACAACCATTGCTTCCAATTTGTCCCAAAATCATACAAAACAAAAAGAAGACAATCATGATAATCGAAGCACCGCTACGAAAGTATTTCCAATAAATCGATTTTGACAAACTTCCTTTAGCCAGAAGCTCCTCGGTTTCTTGAGGCTCGGCTTTCTCCATGTCTTCATCATTGACATTACCGTTTGGAATTATATCAGACATAGGATTTGCATCAATTTTTAAGGATTCCTTCATCTTTTCGTTAACTTCTTCAGCTCTCATTAATATTTCCAAAAAAATCGTATGTTTTTCTTGAAGGGCTGCAAATGTACCTTCATCTTCAATTTGACCCTTTTTGAAAAAATTCACGTAATTAAATTTCATACACTTATAATAATGTGCAAATGTATTCACATAAATAATTATATGTATATGTAACGTAATATTTTACATACATTATTAAGAATAACAATGTAATCGCATTGTTTCAAGTACTGCAATTGATGAGTCACGAGAATTCTTGTTTTGTTTCGTAAGTAATTGTTTATACATTCATTAAATAAGTGTCTACCAACGTGAGTATCAACAGCTGATAAAGGATCATCGAAAAGATAGATATCAGCGTCTCTGTAGACAGCTCTACAAATAACAGATTATGTAAAAATATGTAACACTATTTTGCAAGTGCAATATAGTAAATTTACCTTGCTAGATTAATTCTAGCACGTTGTCCACCGCTGAGTGCCGTACCTCTTTCACCGACTAAAGTCTTATCACCATACGGCAGTTGTTCGAAATCTTTTATAAGAGCGCATACGTTTACAACATTCTGATATTTAACGTTATCATAAGGCTGACCAAACAAAATGTTATTTCGCACTGTGCCAGTGAACAACCAAGGATCTTGGCCAGCATATGATATTTTGCCATTTATTTGTATTTGACCTTGCGATAATTTCAGTTCACCTAAAATTGCTTGCAGAAAAGAACTCTGAAAATTAAATACAAACAGATTTTCTTAAAATAAATATTAAAATTTTTTATACAAAATATTACACACGCATACAAATATAGAAAGTATTCAATAGATATACCTTGCCTGCGCCCACAGGACCAATAATGGTGTAGAGTTTTTTGTCTTTAATTTGAATATTGATGTTATGTAATGTATTTACAATTTTAGTGGTTGTCCACGAAGCACTAACATTTTTCATTAAAATACTTGTGTCTTTGATAATTAATGAAGATTGTGTCAATGGAACGTTCTCATTCAATAACAGGAAATCCTAGTAAAAGATTTGAAACTTTATTTTCATTCTGTTAGCATTTCTGTATTATAATTATTTATTGCGTAACAAGTGTTTGAAATTTCTTAAATTTTTCTTATCTTTTTATTACGCTTTGATTTAACATATCACAATCATTGATTTATATTTCTTTTTATCTTTAAAGTTGGTCTCAATTAAGTAAAGTGATCTTACCTCAATTCTCTTTATAGAAACTGCTGCTTCAGCAGCACCCGCTACAGCCATAGGATAAAATATCGCCATAGTAAGTTGAAGAATATTAAAATATTGTGCCAGTGAGAATACTTTATCGGCGGATATAGAATGTCCACAAAGTACATAAGCCATAATTGTAAAATATAACGTTGTTCTTTCCGTGAAAATACAAGAAGCTAACGTGAAACCTCTTAGATATGATATTAGTGTGAGAACATCAATTTCGTATCTAGAAATAACGCATTTATTACACTAGATTTCTTCGTAATAACAATAAGACTGAAATATGTACCAACTTTCTTGCGCAATTAACTAGTTCCGCAAATGGTTTCTCCCAAGTATACATTTTAATAACTTGTATGCCCTTGATTATTTCAGACATCAAGCGAATTCTCTCGTCAGTTCTTACTGCGATTTTTAAACGTAACTTCGAGGTACATCTACTTATGTATCCTGCAAAGTACGTAAAAATTAGTTAGTACGTAAAACT